AAAAGTTAGGTTACTACTCATTTAGACGTCTCCCATTCAGAAAGTCAAGGTTTAAAACTTTAGTGAGCGCCACCCAGATGACCTTGACCTTGTCGGTTCCATACAAATTGTTCATGCCATTGATCTAAATCGCTATCCGAGTAAGTTCGGCAACTCTTGGGCTGGGATCTACAAATGAAAAACTGGGTAAGCTGTAACTCTGGTCATTCTTGTTTTGGTGAAAGAAAGGTCTCTCAAGTATGAGGTGTAAGACAGAAATGAATGTTGTGGATCCTCGAATTTGCATAGACCTGCATCTCCAATCCAAAAATTCTCGACAACCTATCTGAGCAACTATGAGTAGTCGATTCAGTCTCTTTTAGAGTAAGATTTGCTGTCAGAGTAGCTGCATTCCTGGAGAGGATTTAGGCCTTTTATTTAAGCCGAAAGATGATTACAGCTTATATGACCCCTCTGCCGGCAGGGCACGGAAATAATAGCGCCTCCCTCCCGTAATACAGATGGTTTTCAGCTAAATTCGGGGGAGGGTACTTGTTTTTGTGTCCGGACCCTAACCCTACCTTGAGCCTAAATCCAACCCTAACCTTCAAACCAGCCATAAGTCTAATCCTGACACTAACGATGATTTCGCTGGAATTTAGCGCAGAGCCACCTGCAGTACGACGCTTTCTTATTCCTGTGTCCTGCTGGGTGAGGACATATAAACGACCCTTACCGGACGAAAAATGCAACACCGAAAAACTACTGGGGCATACTATCATGTCCACCATCACCATCCCCACCACTGTAGCGGCCGAGGACGTCAAGGGTAGCACACACCGGAGTAAGGAAACGCCGAGAAGAGATCTTGGCCAGGGTAGACCTGAACGGAACTGTTAGCATTCCTTGATACACATCCATACACAGAAGAAGAAGAAGAAGAAGAAGAAGAAGAAGAAGAAGAAGAAGAAGAAGAAGAAGAAGAAGAAGAAGAAGAAGAAGAAGAAGAAGAAGAAGGCATGTCGAATATGGGGATAAAGTGTAATATGACGAGACTGCACGGAGAAAACGTATAATAATTGTAATTGTACAGGAAGGATGGTTACATCTGTAGAATGACCTGTCTGGGTGGAGTGACTATGCCAACATGCCAGCTAGTAAACCGGTGGGGAGCGCAGCGCTGGGGGCAACTGCAGGAAAGGGCCGAGGGAGTGCCGATGTAGCGAGGAGGCGAGCGGTACGGACGATATGTTACGGTACGACGAGGGGGAAAGGGATCGGCAGAAGAGAGAGGGAGGGACACCGGTTAACTTCACCGACACGCGACTACGCCATCTCCACCCTAGGTCCTCGCGCCAAGAAGTGTCCACACATTCAAACAATTCTGTTCGCGCCGAGGGGCGTTACACCACCACCACCACCACCACCACCACCACCACCACCACCACCACCACCACCACCATCAGCATCATCACGATCACCATCGTCGTCGTAATCGTCATCGCCAGTAGTAATAACAGCAGTGGTGACAGTAGTAGTAGTAGTAGTAGTAGTAGTAGTAGTAGCGCTAGTAGCAACAGAAGCGTTTAAAACTTGCAACTGACAAATATAAAAATTCACTAGAGGTTCCAAGGGCGTATTTCGTAGCAATATAAAACCTCGAAGTTGTAAGAGGGGACGTTAAATAATCCGACACTAAAACAATTACGATTCTTGCTGACATCGAGGGAGACTGCAACTGCGTTGAAATTGTTTCAGTCAACCATTAAACCTGTTTTATGTGCAAGCCATGGTAAAGTCGCTGCATTTTGACCTAAAGCTCTAACTAGCGTCCTCATGTGTCCAGCCTAGTGCAAATCAACCAATTATCGGAGGAAGAGAGATTGAAAGGGTCATTTCTGGCGCATTCATCCCCATCATTCAACCATACCCGAGCCTGGGAGCTAGTAGAGGTGTGAGGCATAAGCTTGACTTCATAACTCTAGTGCGTACACTCTAGCCACTGAACTTCAGGTAACCTTCTTGTCGACAATGATCAGGAACCTTAATGATCGTGGTGTTATGCACCGCTCCTAGCTGACTACAAGATGAGAAATGCTCCCTTGGGGGCAGCCTGTGCAGGCTGACAGCGCAACGGATAAGCGAATATTTCACCAGTCCAACGGATTCAGTCATGTCCTTAGGGCGCCTCTTATGTTAAATCGCAAATATGCACACTGCAATCTATAGTTTTGCATATTTATTCTCGACAGCCACAGCCCAAATGCTACCCCCTCGGTGTATTTGATGCCGCCCTGCGACATCCCCCTCGTCTGCCTATGGTTTGCATATAATAAGTGTGTCCAAATGTGCTTCCATCACTGAGACTTTGTCCTAACGGTGAGTGGGGGGTCGCAGATGGACGGGTTGCGACTCCCACACCGGGAGCCACCTGGCCGACACTCAGACGAAGAGACTAACGCGTGAAGCTACAATGGGATCCTATGATGGGGGGACGTGTGTCGCACGCCCACAGCGCGACCCCCTCCCCCTTATGACTTCCTGTCATCAGGATGTCAGAGGGGTAGAGTCAAGACCACGACACCTGCTCAGCTTTATCTCCCCCCTATGTGTATGGTGTTAATTATAGCGATTTTGTACAAGTGGAAAAGAGCATACTGCGGTAGCGAAGGCGGCTTCGGACAAGTTTGCTTATGAAATCTCGATGCCCTGCTATAACTGCGAATAGAAGGACTCAAACTCCGAGGTTGTTACGGGAAGAGTAAATGAGACTGAAATGACTACCTCAAATCTTTGTCATCAACTGATCGTGCTCCAACCCTAGACCCAGGGGACCCCTATCTCCAACTCGACCTCTTCTTTTATTTCAAGAATTTGAGCCAGACTATCTATCTTTAGTTGATTAGCCCACCGCTCTGTAGATTGCAACCACAAACATTAAGGTTTATAGGCGTGGCATTCACCGAACTGTTCTGACTGCAAAACAGGACACAGGCAAGTCAGACGCACCCTGGGACAGCTGAGGCCTGAAAAATGAGACAATGAAGTGTGTGTGTGTGTACATCTGCGACCTCCCTCGCCTCCGCTCTCATTGACTCAGTCTTAACACCGTGTCCAGGTTGGGGAGGATGATAGTGTGCGGTAGATGCTGTGCAAGTCTGCCACCGTTACAAACTAATTCACACGCAAGTCATCGTGCCTGATGCACCTAGCTGTGTAGCGCACGATGGACATCGTCGAATCGACGGTCGAACTGTCGTGTGAGTGCGTCCTCCAAACGGGCTACGTGGTAGATCCCCTGGACCAGCACGGGTGCCATATCAGATTCTCACAGGCACTATTGAATTGCACACCACAACAACTGCCGACATTCCGGGGTGCGGTGGTAGACCCGGTTGCAGGCAGACGTCGGGTAGATTGGGACCCCTGCCGCCCCCCTCCCTAATGTTGATGCAGGTCAAAAACCTGGTCATTTTCCGATTGAAGCAAATAGGCGAGTTCCAGGAAGCAGTTCAAAAGAAGGAGGAGGAGGAGGAGGAGGAGGAGGAGATGCGACCACTGGAACAAGAAGTTTATTGGCCTGACGTTTCGGATTCTCACTTGAATCCATCATTAGAGACAGTGGCTGAAAAGGGTGACCCGTGCACAGGAAGTTGCAGTATATATAGGATGCAGTCGCCATGCTACCGCATACCTATAGCAATTAACCGCGCTCCCCTTCATCAAGGATTGCTGCCCGCTGGTGCGCTAACTGCTAGCTGGCCGGCATGCAAGTTGCTACTTACCGAAATGTCATCACCCGTGTTGGATGCTGGCGTGATGATTTCTCGGCCATCTGGCTCACCGGCTTGCGCGCGCCCCGAGTGGTCAAGTACCTTGGCCAGTCTATGCCTCAGCACGGAGTTCGCAGTGGGCATGTCGTTGCACTTGTTGATAGATTGAGGTACCGTAAACCATGACTCAAACAACTCGCGGCTCACACGATTATCCCCTCTCGCGAGAATTTCGGCCTCATCGAACTTGAATGTGTGGCCGGGTTTCGTCGAATGGGCCGCGACCTGAGAGTTGGCGTCATTCCTCCGTACCGCTGCCGCGTGTTCGGCAATTCGCGTTCGGAGCAGTCTTCCAGTTTTTTCGACGTAGTTGCTTTGTCCGCAACTGCACCAGATCCGGTAAACGACTCCAGATGTTTCTTGCCGTGGCAGTGGGTATTTTGGTCTCATCACCTGACGCCTCATGGTGGCCTCCGGTCTGTGTGCAACTCCAATTCCAAGTGGTGCACGAAGGCGGTTAACGGCCTCGGAGACGTTCTTGATGTACGGGATCGCTCGCCAGAATTTGGGGTCGGCACGGTTTTGTCGATCGTCTCGTTTGTGCATGCATCTGTTGACGAAGTTGCGCGGGCAACCATTTTTTCTGAAATCCCGTCGAAGATATTGGGATTCAGTAACCTTGTCTTCCGGTTCACTGCAGTGCGTCTCAACACGCCGATATAGCGTTCTTACGCAACTGCGTTTGTGGCTGATTGGGTGGTTACTGTTGAAGTTCATTATTCGCGTCGTGTTCGTCGCTTTTCCGAACACTTTTGGCTTTAGGGCTATAGATAGGGTTAGGGTTAAGTTTGAGGGTAGGGTTAGGGTTCGGGTCAAGTTTAGGGTTAGGGCTAGGGTTAGGTTTAGGTTTAGGGGTAGGGTTAGGCTCAAGTTTAGGCTTGTGGTTTATGGTTAAGGCTAGGGTTAAGATTAGGTTTAGGGTTAAGTTTAGTGTTAGGTTTCGGGTTAATTTCAGGGTTAGGGTTAGGGCTAGGGTTAGGTTTAGGGTTAGGGTTCAATTTAGGGTTATGGTTTAGGGTTAAGGTTAGGATTGGGGTTATGTTTAGGTTTAGGGTTGTGGTTAAGATTAGGGTTAGGTTTCGGGTTATGTTTAGGATTATGGATAGGGTTAGGGCTCGTGTTTGGTTTAGGATTATGGTTCGGGTTAGGGTTAGGTTTGGGTTTATGGTTTAGGGTTAAGTTTAGAGTTATGGTTAGGGTTACGGTTAGGGTTATGTTTAGGGTTAGGATTATGGTTAAGTTTGGGGTTAGGGTTCGGGTTCAGTTTAAGCCTGTGGATAGGGTTAGTGGTAGGGTTAACGTTAGGATTAGGGTTTGGGTTAGGGTTAATTTTAAGGTTAGGGTTAGGTTTAATTTTAGGGTTAGGGTTAAGAATAAGGTTATGTTTAGGGTCTAGTTTTTGGGTTAGGTTAGAGGTTACAGTTAGACTTAGTTTTTTGCTGAAAAGCTTTAGAGCCTTAAATTTAGGTTTTCCTTATGAGGTTTCCTTGGGATTTATCTTTACGGCTCGAGCGTTACCGTTCTCTCTTACAGTGCCGTTTCCGGGTTTATGTTTTAGATTATGGATTACAGTTTATGAGTTGGGTATTGTGATTAATGCTTTCCTAAGCGATTTCCCTACGTCCATTCGGTTTTCGGTTTCATCTTACCGTTATCCATTACCGGGTGTTTCCCATTTCGTCATCTCCTCCGGCAGCGCCCTCCGTTTCATCTCCAGAGGATCTGAATCCTTACCATCACTTCCTGCACTCGCACTACCGGATGACGTACGGACGGGTTGATAGCACCTTTGCCTTCACAGTTAGCGTGCGTTTTCTTTTTGTTTTCCGTATGGCGGTCACAGGTTTGGCATGCAGTTTCGACTGCCTACGACGACATTACCATCTACCTTCCGATTTTACCTATCTAGGTGGGACAGTTCGCTACGATTTAATTCCGATAACGTTGAATTACGCTGTTCTTACATCCAAAGGCTTCTTTCCGAGGGATAAGACGTATCCGACACGGCCGTTTTGATCTAAATTAGCTCGGAAATTCTAACCCTCTACGTCCTCCCCTTAGTTTTCGGCCTACAGCACTTCCGCCAGCAGCCACGTCCAGACACGTTCTTTTTCGTCATTGAGTCTGCGTTCACTTGTCATGCGCATTTGCGTTCCTTTAGGCCAGTTTACCTTGGTCTCCACTACCTACAGATGCCGGTCTTCCGACACAGTTCTCACTGACTCTGCCGTCGCGGTTTACACAACTACCCCCTTCCCCTCCCAACCGGCACTTGCACGCTTAAAGTGCATTTTTGCCTTTCCTTCAGCGGTATGTTACCGGAATGCGCGTACGTATGCCCACCGGTACACTTTCGCATCCGTCGTCTTGGGTTCGATGCCGTCTTCCACTATTTCGCGGGCACCCCAGACGCTCAGCCCTACCGGTGGTCCCCTTCGGCATATGTCAGCCGCGAGGAGGCACAAAATGTGTTCTTCCTTTCGTCTTCCGACTGGCCGTCTAGGCGGCCTTCGACTCGCGCAGATGTACCGTCCGGGTGGTATAAACAACCACAGGCAAAACCAAGTCAATATATTTCAGTGGAACAGATGTCGCTATTGCTATTATTAGTTCACATAAACATTTGCTTTCTTCGTCTGCACTGGCTTCCATTTGGCGTTCTCCTTGGCCTGCTGGTTGTTTCGTCTTCTTGGCATTACTGTCGTCCCTGAGTGTCTACACAACTAAAACAGTTCGGTTACGTTATCGGTTCTCAACTTACCCTTGTGCCTAGTGAGCTTCGCTTTCGTTTTTGCATTCATTCTCTGCAACCGGATACGCTTGAGTCACATGGGTTAGGAACACTTCCCACGCCTCCGGTAGGTTACTTGACCTCACACCATACCACAGGCGGTATTGGACTTCATTGACGTGTTCCAAAACTCTTCTTCCTTTGATGGGTTCTTTTTCGCGTAATTTTTTCTTCAGCCTGCTCCAGTAGGCCTCAATGGCATTTGTAATCCTTCTGTTGAGCAGATCAACAGAATTGACGAAACGATTAGCCGTCAGATGGCGATAGCCCTCCTCCGCTACCCGGGGATACGCTTTCCACTGGTCCGTTACTATCACACTTCCCAGGGCCACCCATTTCTTTATTACGGAATGCTTACCCGTCAGATGGCGATAGCCCTCCTCCGCTAGCCTGGCATACTCCTTCCACTGGTCCGTTACTATCGCACTGCCTGGCATCACCCGTTTCTTTATTACGGCCCGCAGGGAAGGCCGCTGCGGTCGTTTACTTGCTCGAACAGAACCTTCCTTCTGTTCGTATCGTACGTGCCTAGGAATAGTTGTTTCAGTGGATTATGTTACCCAAAATCCAGTTCTGTTTCTTCAAGCGACCGACGTACTTCCGTCTAGTTATCGATGTTTCGTCCACTTGGACTTCGACGTTTTCACCCCCCAGCTGTTTCACTTCTTTAAGGAGGGCTTTCGTGCATACATCTCTCCAGATTCCATACCACTCGACCGCCGTATTAGGACTGATGCGCACAGACGCCACACATCTAATTGCCCCTGTTCCTTCCAGAAAAGCAAGCGCTGTCTTCATTGCCTTCGGTAATGTTAGGCGGCTTCGTTCAAACACTGAGGCCATCCTCAGTGCCCTTTAGTTCCGCATTTGCTGCATCTACAGATTACATGGTACTAAATATTAGCCTTACCTGAAGACATAACCGTTCGTGTGTTGCGCAGCACTCGTAACCGCGTTGGCACGCGGCATCGACACATTACTTGCGAGGCCAGCAGCCCCTTAGCTTGTAAATATTGCACAAGGTTCGGTGACTGAATCACATCCTGGATTTCGCCAAATTTCGTTGGCTGACTAACTTGCGGAGCTGCCTTCCCCGCCTTTCTTGCAGTCCTCGGTTTAAAAGAGGACAATAAATACGGTGATAACTTGGTAAACCATCCGGTTGCCCTGTTTTACTCTTCTTTTCGACACCACCACTACGTAGTCCTGTTTTTATTGCGCCAAATCGTAAGCCACCTGCTGGCTCGTCTCCCTGGTCGCTTAGTTTTGCTTACTTTTCAATGATCCGCATACTCACTTACCGCAGTTGGGCTTCATTGTCGTTAATTCTACTTGCGCTCGCCCCTTCACTGACATTCATGATATTGCCTGCGGTTTACGGTGACGCTATGCAGAATGACCTTGACCTCCTTCGTCCATTTTTCATTGGCTCCCCAGGGTGCTATGGTGCGCTTATCCTATCACTATTTACCTTAGCCATTTCCGCAAGCTGTGCCGTTTTCCACGGGATTTTTTTAAATTTCTGCCATTATTTTACCTTACTAAAACTTCCCAACACTTTCTTCGGCAAGTTTACCTTTTCCCACAAACTACAGCATTCGTCAAGCAGCACCTTCACTTATCCCACCCACATAACCCCATTTCCCACCATTCCCGTCCGATAGGCATCCCGCTGTCTGCCTCTCCATTCCTGGCTACCAACTGCGATCTAACCCTAGTTTCGTCTGCGTACGCACTGACTGACACGGTTGCGCGGGTAGCCATTGGTCCTCAGTACCCGTCGAAGATATTGCAATTCAGCAACCTTGTCTTCCGTTTCACTGCAGTGTGTCTCAACGCACCGGTATAGCACCCTTACGCAACTGCGTTTGTGACCGATCGGGCGGTAACTGTTGAAATTCAGTACTTGCGTCGCGTTTGTCCCTTTTCTGAACACTTTGATTTTTAGGCCACCACAATCTTTGCGGCAAACGAGGACATCCAGAAATGCCAGCTGGTTGTTCTCTTCCTCCTCCATCGGAAACTGAACGTCCGGGGAGATGGCGTTGAGACGTTCTTTGAATGTCAGCACCTGATCCCGTTCGATGCAGACGAAGGTATCATCTACATACTGAGCCCATAATTTCGGTCTGTGGTGTCGGAAAACCAGCGACTCCAGCCGTTGTAGGACAGCCTCGGCTACGATTCCCGAAGTCGGCGAACCTCTTGGCGCGCCCTTCACCTGCTCGTGGATTGTTCCGTCGAATGTAGAGTAGGTCTTCAAACAGCACTTCAGGTGTTGAATGATTTTGGCGTGTCCGAGGTGAATCACGGCCCTCAGCGATGATCACAAGAGCTGTTAATTACAATACACATGTGGGTCCACGACAGTTACGTAGTTTAAATAGTACAGTCTTTATGCCTCCAATACCTTTGTCTGAAACCGTCTCTGATGATGGGTTCGAGGGAGAACCTGAAACGTCAGGCCAATAAACCTCTTGTTCTAGTGTTCGCATCTTCTTCTTCTTCTGGCCTGGGCACTTGATATGTGGACCAGTGGGTGTGAAGTGGAACGCCAAGGTGCGGGCTCGACCATGCCATCCACCTGCGCCCTCCCCCGCCTCCACTCTCGTTGACTCTGTCTTGACACCGGATCAAGGTTGGGGAGGATGATAGCGTGCGGCAGGTGCTGCGTAAGTCTGCTAACGCCACAAACTAATTCACGCGCTAATCACCGTGTCTGCTGTCACCTTGCCGTGGAGCACACGGTGGACATGGTCGGAAACGATGGTCGAACTGTCATGTGTGTGTGTGTGTGTGTTCCAGTGATGAGGATCAGGACTACACCTGCCCTCACTGAGACCGCACCTTCACCTCTCGCATCGGCCTGGTCGGTCACTTGCGAATCCATCGCACAGAGACTGGCGAACCAGTGCCTGGAGCACCAACCTACACTCACCGCACTCGCCTCCACTGCCCAAAATGCCCTCGCACCTTCACGCATCGCATGGGTCTATTCAGCCACATGCGCATCCACGAGAGCGGAATTGACCGCCGCCTTGACACACCCACCCCGCCGAGCCCCACTCCCAATCCATCACCTTGTGCACCCACTAACCACTCCCCAGCCGACATCGACGCCACCGACCTTACCACCCCTCACTCCTCCCCTTCCTCCATCACTGCCACAACGACGGTCGCTTCGGCGTCTGTCGCCCACGACTTCATCGCAGCCGCACCTGACACAACAACAGGCACAAGCCCTGCAACCTCCATCATCGGACGTGAGGGCCAGGACTACATCTGCCCTCACCGCGATTGCACCCTCACTTCACGCATCGGCCTGGTCGGTCAATTGCGAATCCATCGCACAGAGACTGACGAACCAGTGCCTGGAGCACCAACCTACACCCACCGCACTCGCCTCCACTGCCCACACTGCCCTCGCACCTTCACGTACCGCATGCGTCTATTCGGCCACATGCGCATCCACGACGACCTGCGGTGGACAACCGCCGGTCACACCACGCATTCCCTCACTCCCTACCTC